AAGTTAAATTATATTTTTAATGATTCATATATCTTGGACCATCCAAATGGGGTATGGTATGTACTCTTAATAGGAGATCATTTATATAAGTGTGAAGTAGGGTTGGTTCTATGAGAATGTTTCAAAGGCGTGAATCTCTAAAGCGCTTATGAAAATCAAGAGTTGTTCAAGCCAAAATGAATATTACAGTGAGAACTCGAAAATGTTAAGAAAGCTATTGTGTTGATACTATTATCTTGGTTTACACCAACGACTAACAGTTCAAGACATCACGTTCACTGATTAGCCAAGTAAGTCCAATAGTATTCTACTACGGAATGTTCAAACTCATAAGGTATACATCCAGATGCAATAACTTTCTACTTGATCTCTTTATAGGGTCTACATCGTCTATTACATTAATTTTCATTCATTTGAAAAATTATTGAAAACTTGGCTTAATTTGTTGGTTTGACTAACTTTTGACCAGTTATTTAAGTGGGTCTAGTTAGCTAGACAAAAGATTTCTTTGGTGAGTGAATTGTACTCCATGGGTAGATTAATGTAATGTATCTATTTTCTAAAAACCAACTTAGGGTGAATGAGAAATTAATGCAAAAAAATAACCATTTGAAGTTAAATTAAATTAAGATTGAAAATTGTGAGAAATCGAAAAATGCCAATCCTACAAACGAAAATTAGAAAAATAGAATCCACTTTATATTACTCAAGTTTATGACTCGAGTTTAGACCCCAAATGGTACCAATAGTTTGAACAAAATCCCACATTCGCGCACCATCCTTTTGGTCGACTCGACTCAACATGGTCGAGCACAGGCACATGTCACGGGTCATAGTCGTGGTAGTGTGCTTGAATATATATATATATATATATATTCTAGTAAAATAATACTTGAATTATATTATTTTATTGATTTAAATTATATTCTTATATTATTTATTTATTTCCCTTGATTTTTCTGTTTGCAACACATGTTATCTTCTAGAAATTGATGATTGACTGTTAAACTGTCTGTCCAAATGAGTTGTGTCTTGAACAGACACAACTTTTCAGCTGTTATGTCTGTTGGATCCAACTTTTCAACGTCTATAAATAGGTCTCCATATGTCGAATTTTATTCATTCCAAAAATCATTTTTGATTTCTCTCTTGCAAAACATAATCCTTCTGTTGTGCATTATTTTATATTGTACATTTTAGTCCGAATATTAATTTCGTGCATTTTAGTCATCCAGTTTTAGAGAGCTCAAAATATTAGTAGATTCATTAGGTCTTGTAATTTAGAGTGCTACTATTACAAATTGAGGTCGTTGTATCTCGGAAGACGAGTGTCGAAAGACCATCAACATTAATGAAGAGCATTATCGTCTTAATGAAAAAGAGTCGAAGTCTTGCTTTGATCATTTTTATTCTATTTTATTCCGTTCATTCTATAAGTTTGAATTTTGCCCAATTGTTTATTCATTGAAAAATGATTGTTTGAATATAAATTATTGCACAGTAAAATCAATATTTACCTAACTTAAGATTCGATAGAGAATAAAGATATGCCTCTATGCTTTATATGATTTCAATATATGTTCTAGCACTTGTTAATGTATTTATCATGCTTGCATATTTCATTGAGAGATAGAAGGATTATATAAAGGGAATATATTTGGTTGCTATCGAGAGAGACTTTCAATTAAATTAAGAAAATTGATCAACATGAATTACTTTAAATTGTCACTTTAATTGTTACACTAAAAATGAAATTCGACATCTTAACAATGCATTTCTCATATTTGAAAAATACATTTACTTGCTTTCACTAGTT